CTGAACCGGTTGTCGATTTGCGCTGTGCGCCAAGTAAGGCCCTACCTCAGAAGAAGAAGCTGGAATGTTACATTTTCGCTGGCAGCAAATTGTGTGATCGTGTGTCGGTCGATTCCAGTACAAGAAATTAGGGTAGGTTTTAAGCAAAACACACGAACCGATTTTCGATTTGCGCAGGAAAGGTAGTCACAAAGTAGGGTAGGTTTAACGCCGAGTCGCTGACTCTTCAGTTACAAGAACAGTTTGGCCGTTTAAGAAATATCCCACAGCTTGACCACTTTGAGGGTGCCAAGTCTGCACAAATTTCAACAGAGATTGTGCCAGTTGAAGCAGCCACTACCTCCGAGTCTCTTGTTTCTGAGGAGGAACCGCCCTGCGCACCGAGTTTCACTGAAGCTCCAGCACCAGTGTCGCCCCGTCACACGGGGACGGGACGGGCCGTATGTATTCCCCTATGTTCGTGCGTACAGCCCCCCGTCCCCCGTACGTCCGGACTTTGGGGCTGGAAATCAGGGACTTTCGGAGGGGCTCTCGAGAAATTGAAGGCCTCGGGAGGGTGTGGATGTCAGGAGTCACCCCCAGACAAGAATAAAAGGAAAAGAAACTTTTTGGGGGAGGTTGGGTTTCGGTGAAAAGAAAAAAATAAAATGACTGATTGATTGATTGATTGATTGATTGAGTGTGGATTGGTGGTTGATAGATTGATTGATTGACTCATTGTTCAAACCACTACAGTCTTCCCCCGAATACAACGTACGGTCATTATAGCTGAATTTGGACTGAAAGATTCACCAAATTCAGCTATAATGACCGTACGTTGTATTCCGGGGAAGACTAGTACCTTTGATGGTTGCAAAAATAGGGAGCCTCAGGTGGGCCTACGGTCTTTTAGAAAACCGAAATGAAATGATGGCCGCCGGTGAGATGTATCAACGGTGGTCATCGTTGGGCCCAGCCTGCGAATGGAGTTTGGGAAAACTGCCACTTTTCAACTGTTTTCCCAACCGTCAAAGGTACTAGTGGTTTTATGGGGAAAACAACAAAAAAGAAGGAAAAAAATGTGTGCAAAAACAGAAAGATTGATTGATTGATTGATTGGTTGTTTGATGATGATTGATGCGTGTGCGGGGGTTGGGCGACTCTCCGCCAACGAACCGGTAGTCGGTGAACCTCGGACGAAACAGTTTGTCACAGCCCTCGTTTCTCGTCCTCTTTTCCCTGTCTGCCTACAGTTTACAGGTAAGCTCTGTTTGATGGTATATAAGTAGTACAAAGGAAAAAATGTTATATTAATATTATTAAATGTTTGATTGATTGATTGGTCACGGAGGGTCGCTTCCCCCCGCTCCTCCCCCAACACACACACACACACACACACACACACACACACACACACACACACACACACACACACACACACACACACACACACATGCGGACGCAGAAACGCACACAGGCACAGGCACACATTCACACGCGCAAAACACACACACATGCACGAGCGCACACATACGCACACAAC